CAGCAGCAAGCTAGCTCCCTGGTGTCTGTTGCCACAGCTGGAGCCCTGCCTGGCACCCTGCATGCTCCGAGAGCAAACACAGGGTGTAGAAGGACCGAGCCCTTCCTACACCTGCAGTAGCGACATGGCGCAAGCCCCACGTGAGCGAGGAGGGGCACGGCAAGCAGTGGTGCTAACAGAGCCTTTCTAGCATGATTTCCGTCTCTCCACGCAGCCTTCCTGCCCCACCACAGTGCCTCAGGAAGCAGCGTCAGGGCTAGCTTGCAAGGCAGCACCTGCCTATCGTTGGCTGGGATGCCAAACCTAGTCAGGGGAGCCAGCTCTGCCCAGCCACCCCATCCTGCCATGGCCAGGGATAAGGCTGGAGCAGCAAACAACATCTCTCGAGGCAGCTCAGTGATCTGGTGGGGCCTCCCGGAGTCCAGCACGTAGGCCATGCTGGGCCCTACGGCCTGCAGCTGAGGGGCTGCAGCCTCCCTGTATAGCACACCGGTCTGTGCTGGTGGAGGGCTGCGTTGCTCAACAGCACATTATATTTTAATCTAACCTTGTGAAATCAGGATGCACTGGGGATGATGCATTCCCTTTTCCTCCTACAGCAAAGCATGTAGGAGTTCGGACTCCTGGAGATGTGGCTTAGCTCCTCACTAACTGCAGCTCCCCTGGAAAGGGTTTTGAGCCTGGAACAAAGACATGGGACGACTACTGCAACAGGGAGCTAGAGATTCACCAGAAGGCCCTAAAATGCCACCAGTGGGGAGAAAGGACAGGAGAACCACCTCTGCCATGACAAAAGCGGTCAGCCTCACAGGCTGGCACATCGCAGCACCATATCTAAGACCGCTCAGCTCACCCGATAGGGCCTAAGCCCATGCACCAGCTGCTGCCCTTGGCATCTGGACAGCTGCTCTTGCCCCCAGGGTGGGCTGGGAGTGGCCCCGAAGAGGATGTCTTGCATGGGGATCTCCTGGCAGCCCTGCCCATCCATCAACAGGTAATAAACTGGTTATGGTTGCCAAAACACCCAGTCAAGCCAGAGACTTGTTCGGCTTCCTCCAAAACAAGGGAGAAAGGAGGCAGAAGAAGGAATCGGTGTGTTTTCGGTGTTTCTGAACACACTGCATGTTTACGGAGACTGCAGAGTGCATGGCAAGTGGCCAGCTACAGATTACTTTGTTTTCCACCAGGCCAGGTGCAAACTTTCCGAGCAGGGAAGCAGAGGCTGGGAAAGAGAAATCCACCTCCAGACGGGGAGCTTTCTAACCAAAACCGACCCAGCAAAACCGCGCAAACCCCAACAAACCCCTTGGTACTGAGGCACCTCGCTGCCCCGGCGAGTAAGGAAAAGTAAGCACCTTGCATCCTGACCCTGAGCAATTAGCAGATTAATGTGGCCCTTTAAAAGGCGTCGATGTTTAGATTTTAGGGGATTTCACTTTCCAACCTTAAAAGCCTGGGGGGAGGGAGAAGAAAAACAGCAGCCTTTTTCTCTGAGTTGTCAAGTATCAAAAACACAGCCTGCATTCAGTAAACACTCACTCCACCCGACTCAAACAGGTTAAAGAATGGCTCCTGCTCCATTTGCTAATAGGTAAACTGAGGCACCGATCCAAGTTAGGGAAAACCTCTGCCATGGACAGGCGTACACAAACCCAAGGTTATCACCTCTCTATCTCGGCCATTTGGCAGCACAGCTGCACAAATGAGAGGTGAAAGAACTGAAGCCAGCAGCCCTCGGTGCTCACCCAGCCCCAGTTTGCACAGATCCCTTATGGGCACCTTACCATTAGATCCGTGCTTCGGCATTGCCTCGTAGGCATCGTAGACATCCTTCTTCAAGAAGTTGAGAAAGCCAGCCTTCCTCACAAACCTGCAGACGAAACTATGCTCGTAGAGGCAGTTGAGGAGAAAGCAGCCCTGGATGTGGTCTTCTCCTGAATTTGGGACCTGCTCGACGAGGGCCAAGTTACAAGCAGGGTCCTTACAGCAAGCCCTCACGCAGTCCCTGCCCCGATGGACCATGGGGGACGACAAAAAGGTGGCTCCATTCTGGACGGAGGCGTCTGTGTCCAGCACCAGACCCGGCATCCCCACCGTAAAGTCCTCCAGGCAGGTTTCTCCAAAGGGTTTTGTCTCCTGCTCTTCACCGAAGACAACTGCCACTGCCACCAGCACCAGGCAGACCCCAAGTCTGGACTGCGGACCCGGTCTCCTGCTGGCCATCCTGGCACCCCGGTCCTCACTGCCTTGAGACCCTAGTCCTTTCCTAAAGGGAGAGAGAAGACAGATGAAGCTAAGAGGGATGGTGCCCAGCTACATGCCACCTTTTGGCCACGTTCCAGGTCCCCGCTCTCCCCACAGTGGCGAAGTGTCCCCCCACCCTGCAGTTCACCCCCAGACAAACGCTCTTGGCTCCCACCTGTGCAGTCTCAGGTGGGACCGATGCTAGGAGAAGGGTGTCCCCTTTGTCCCCCTGTGCCTTCACCCCTCAGGTGTGCCCTCGGCAGCGTCCAGTGAAGACAAAGGCACGGAAGGGGCAGGAAGTGCAAACCAACTCCCAGAGAGAGGAAAAAAAAAAATCAAGTCACTCCCCTCCTGGCTGCATTGCGTAAGAGGAAGGGGAGGAGAGCAGGGTGATACCATTTCCCATTGCACTGGCAAGGGGAGCGAAGGCTCCCATGGGAGCACCGAGCACAGCCCTATTTGTCCCAGAGTGGTACTCTTGGTCGCGCAGGTGCACGGGCACAAACACCAACCCTATGCTTCAGCCAGCCCAAAAGCCCAAATGGGTTGTGCTGAAAGCTGTGAGCAGATGTCCTACGGTGGTAGCCCTCGCAGAGCAGCATCACCACCGGTGGGGTGGCAGGGATCCCAGGTCTCACTGACCCAAATGAGTCAGCCCCCTGCCTTGGCCTCGTGGCCTGAACCCACTTCCAGGCACTTCATGCTCAAAACCATTCATTCCCTGCTTTTGGGACATAATACTCCTCTGGTGAAAACCCTTGGCAGTGTACCTGGCAGCAGCCCCTGCACCACTGCGGTGAGACTTTTTGGTGCTCAGCCCCCTGGTGAGCCATGTTGCAGTGCTCCACTCTCATACAGATCAGCCCCAAACAGGAGCAGAAAGGCTGCCTGCTGTAACTTGGGTGCGTGTTTTACCTTCCTGTTTCTATTTGCAGAGCTAGGATCAAATTCCCCTGTTCACCAGCTACATCAGTGTCACCACTCCCTCTGCAAGCACTGCTAAACCCCTGAGTAAAGTCTTCTTAGCCCTCCGTCATAGTGCTTGGGAGGGCAGAGGGTGCTTGTAATTTGCCTGGACATTATTTTTAATGAAACATTGCATCACTTCAAAGGCAGAAGCAAATGTGAGATGGTATTGATTGGCAAATCTTTGAGAAGAGATGGTGAGCAATGGCTGTGCTTTGGGCAGCAGCTACCTTTGCAGTTTTGGGGGCCTTGCTGTTGTCTCGCATTTCAATTCCTGCTGCTTGTTTCTGTCTGTGGTACCCCTGATGCTGGGGAAATAATAAATAAATAAATAAATAAATAAATGACAAGGTTGTCTTTTATTCTGCACTGCCTGAGGCACTCAAGCCCTCCCTTGTGCTCCTCCTCCCCCTGTTTTAAATGTTTACAGAAGAGTGAGCCCCTTCATAAACTAATCAAGCCTCACCTTTAGACTAGGGGATGTAATCCCTTTTGCTCCCATCCGAAGGCTGTGCTAGTGTCATGCTGCAAGCTTTTCTGCTACTCACCATTAAAGTATTTATACTTACTTTATACACCTTATATTTATTTTTCTTGTGCATTATTGTCCTTTAATTTCAAAAGCTTCTCTCCTATTATCTTCTTCAGGTGTATTTACTTTAGTGAAATCATATCCTAACTCAGTCTTCATTTTGCTAGTGGAAGCCAACCATGATCTTTTAATCACTTCTTTTATGGCAGTCTCCATTCCCCCTTTGTTATCTTAGTGTCTTTTTTTTCTGTCTGTTTTCCATTTTTTTTTAATTTTTTTTTTGTTATTATTAAATGTGTTATAAAATTATATGCCTTAGGCTAAAAATGGATCACCATTATCAAGTATTTAATCTTCAGTCTCTCTGATGGAAATCCATTGCTGAATACATCTTAGGATCATTTCAGTATCATTCATAGGTTCACTGAAGAGCCATCTTATGAACAGTACATCTTTAGTGGATCTTGGACTTGTTCTTTCTGCCATTTTCAGCTGATCAGCCTCCAGCTAAAATTCTTGTGACCATTTCCTAAAAATGTGACCTTACTTTTTATATTCTTTATATTCTTGAATTTGACCCACTTCTTCATCTTGGCAGATGGGTCTGGCTTCTTTATTTGACTTTTAAACTTTATGCTTTTTGTCCGCCATTGTAGAAGTGATGCATCCCACCTCTATGCCAGCAGCATTTCTAAATATGCCAATTTGTTCTGGGGAGGTTCAGTAATCAATGTTTTAACTGAGATTAGTCCCAAAATCAAGGATTTCTGTTAGGAACCGCTCTCCATTGCAGCATCTTTCCTTCCATCTCAGTAGCCTGCTCCCTGTTCACCTAACCCAGAGCTCCCATCTCAGGCTTCATCTGCTAGCAAACAAATAATTTCCCATGACTCCAGCTGAGCTGTGTGTTACTCATATTAGCGTGAAGAGAAAGCAGGCTGTGTGATTTTATGGCTTGGGAGTGTTTTTAAAGGGGTCCTGAAACAGTGAGTCATAGTTAATGTTTGTCTTTTATGGGCTGAGAAGTGTCTGCTCTGGGTCCTGCAATAATAGCTATTCAGCAGCTTACTGTGGGGGTTAAAATACACACTGGCTTAATATTTGACTAGAATTGTAGCTTTTAGACATGCATGGCTTGTAAAAAAAATGAGTGGTAACCTGCGTCACCTACCTTGATGTGACCGCTGTGCAGACCCAGCACCCACAAGGTGGGTGCCCAGTTGCTGGGAGGAAGGGTCCCAAAAAGGCAGAAAAAACAAGGAAGACTTCCTCCAGGTCCCTTTTGCCCAGCCAAGTGGCATCACAGCTTGCAGTGACTTCCTGACAGCTGCTCCGTTCTGCCTGGCTGTATCTGGGAACCGCTCCGTGTGTAACTAGCACTTGGGAGACAGGTTTGCTTGCTTGCTTGTTTTGTCGTATTTGCCTCAGGTTAAACCTCCTGGTGTGGTTTAGGGGCGAGACCCGGATGCAAGTGACGGCACAAAGCTGTGGCAAAGGAAGGAGACGGGGAGGGATCTCAGCAGGCCATGACTAACCACCTGTCCTGAGGAGCCAAGCCAGGGAAAGGGTGACAGGCTGCTGAGTCCTCACCAGAGCCTTTCCCACCTTACCAAGGGCAGCTGTGGGGAGGGAGGACTGTTCCTGTGGGGAAGTTCCTGTCTGTCATCCTGCACGGTGCTGTGCCTCTTATTTTATTGTTGCTAGTCACGGTAAGCTGTTAAGTACAGGAGTGCTAGAAAAGGAAGAAGGGGAAATTGTGCTGAAACCTGTTATGCTGCAGAAGCATCTGCATTTTTTCCATGTCTGCAGTAGGCTCCTATAGGGAGATAGGTATGGAAATGGCTCCTTTTGTGAAGCAACGAGCCTTCAATTTGCAGGAAGGCGATAAAATTTAACATTTCCCATTGAAGTTCCCACAGGTGACCCGAGCTGTTATTGCTGGGCTGTGGTGTTCCCCATGCCCCCCCTTCTCCCTTCCTTCCTGCAGACACCACAGCCCCTGGGAAGCTGTAGTCTTTGACACCTTCAGGCCCGCTGCCAGTGCCTCCTCTGCTTTCCCTTGCATTTGGGGGTGGAGATCAAAACATACACTTTTGGAACCAAAACCAACACGGATGGATTTTCCAATGACCCCCAGTTAGTGGCATTTAATTCACATTGCCTTTTAACAAGAGCCTTCAGCCCTCACCCTTCTGACTGCATTACCAAGGCTGAGGGGGCTGCGGGCTGCCTCTCTTAGCCCCTTGCCTTTACTGCTGGAACAGGGCTGCTTCTTGAGGTGGTGCCAAGTCCCCACTTTGGGGTTCCCCAGTCAAATACAAATGCTGGGAGCTGTTTGTCCCTCGGTATTCCGGAGAGGAGGAGTACTTAGTCACCGCTGAGGAGCACCAAGGCTCTCCACCTGCAGGTGGGAAGGCAGCACTGCTGCTCGGGTGAGGGCTGTGTGTGCTGAAGCACCCCGGCTGCTTCCCCAGATATTCAGGGGCTGGGAATGGACAATCTGTGATATGGTCTCCTTATCTAGCAAGAGCTCAGGGGCAATGGGGCAGCTTTTTCAGTTTCCATGCTGCAGGGGAGGCACCAGAGGGTGAGGGCAGTGAAGCTGGGGTGCAGGGGCACCAGGGCTGCCACAGGGCTCTTCTGACCTCCAGCCCAGTCTGTTTTCTGATCCACAGAGTTACTTCAGTGCCTGCTGCTGCCCACAAGAGAATGAAGAACATCTTTACCTTGTGGTGTCAACGTAGCATCAGTACAGTCACCTCTGCTGCCTTTCCCGGCTTAATTTGTGCTAACTACCATGTTTGTAACCACAGGGAAAGTGATTATTTTCTAAAGCAGGTGGAGAGTGGCTCCTGGCTGTCTTGAAGGAAGAAAAAACAATCCTCTCTGGGCTGAGACGCGAGGGTAAGAGGCCATCCAGCTTCTCCAGAAAGAGGAGCTGGGGCCCTGCTGAATTATTGAGGGTGCGTAACAGCCACCAGCCTGGAGAGAAAGAGGAGCACCGGCTTCGGTCACAGGTGTGGGGTGGAGAGTGTGAGCTCCAGGAGGAGTGTAACCGGATCCATCTCTTGCACTCATTTGCTCCAGTGCCTCAGCTGTTTGGCACCATGACACAGGTGTTCAGCTTGGTGGCCCTCCTCGGTTGGGGCCCTAGGCCATCGCAAAAGCTCACCTTTTGTGGTATTGAATCCCACCCCGCTCCTCTCAGAGGCAAAAGCTCCCTCCTTGGGCAGGTGGCTGGCGTACCCATGGGAGATGCTTCCTCCCTCCCCAGGGACAACGCTGCCCATCCTGCACGAAGCACCTGATCCTGTGCCCACAGGAACCTCTACCGCGCCCTCACGGGGTGATTTTACACATTGCCTTTTTGCTTCTTCCTCCTGCTTTAATGATTGATTAGAGCAGCTTGTGACAGAGGGAGGCCCACTTTATCTGTAAACATTTATTTTTGCATCGCCACCTTCTTGCTACAAAGAATTCATAACTAAGCGCTTATAACCCAGAGCAGGATAATAAACATCCTGTAGTGCAGCTCGCTTTGGCGTGCAGATCTCCTAAGGGAGACCAACCTGCTCCCCTGTGTGGTGACACTGCCCAAGCAGCACGAGGGCACCAGGGGCTGCTCGTAGCTTTGCTGATAAAGCACAGACAGTGAATCTGCCTGTGGCCCTTCTCAGGTGTGGTATCTCAGCCCATTGGTCACGCTCAAGTGGGGTTACCAGTCAAGAGAGGCTCCATCTGCTCGAAGAACAGGCAGCTGCCATTAGGGTAGGGTGCACTCCCCTCGTCCTCACACCCATCCCATGCGTCATAAATTCAGCTCAGCTGACAGAGGATTAACAGGGCAAGCTCCATCTTCCATGCAGAGCTCACCTGACCTAAGGACGAGCACCAGGGTCAGCATGTGTAATGAAGGAAGGGGACAACTTCACTGCCAGCTTCAGCCACTACAAATGTTTGGATGGACTGCTTTTTCTTGTTTTAATGCTAGCCTGCCTGGAGTTCTGCAGGAAAATCTGTCATCAGTCGTGGCAGTGGGACCAAGGAAAATGTAGGTTGCTTTCGCCCATCTGAAAAAAAAAAAAAAAGTCAGACTTTGAACACCAAGATAGAGCCCTTCTGCTGGGAGACAATTTAATACCTGGCAAAGTGTGTCCTTTGGTCCAGATTTACCTCGTGTTTGGATTGTCTATTAACCTTTGAAAAGTCAACAGTTGTAAACGTGTTATAAGCTTATTCATAGGTTTTGCAAGATTTTTTAACTGTTAAGAATCTCTCCTCAGGGAGTATGCTCCCACCCTCTGGTAGTATGGATTTTTTGAGAAATTTTGCTCTAAGTAAGACAGCTTTAGGAGTGAGACTAGGGGGTGAATGAGGTCAAGCAGCGATGAAAAATGGGGCAAGCTTAGCAAACTAATTAGCTGACAGCTGGTTTCTGAATAGAAGCTTCAGTCTGTCTGAAAAGCAGGTGACATGATACCAGTTTTAGGTATAATTTCATACTTTATCCCTTTAATGGAGCTGGAGTAAGCTTCAGGATAAACATTTTGTGGAATTGTCTGTCAGAAAATATATATATATTTTTAATTGCCCCAAACTCAAGTTGAGAAGAAGGGCTGGAACATCCCTGCTTATTTTTCTACCAGCCTGTGTAGGAGTTGCTGCTGGCTGGCTGTGCCACCACCTCTGGGCACAGTGATGTGGTTTTGGCAGGGGGCCTGGGTCTGACTTCCAGAGAAAGCCAGTCTCCACCTTACTTATTATTTCCGCAAAAACCATGGGATTGAAGATGCTGATCTGCTTCATGACATAAAAGCTTGGTGGGTTGATCTGTGTGACAGGGCAGCACCCAGTGCAGGTCATAGGAAGGCTCTGGGGACAGATGGATAAACAGGTGTGATATAGCATCAGAAGCAGGGACGGGCTTCCTGCTGCCCTGACACCTCATAAACACATCTCATCTGATTTCTGCCCCTCTGATCAGTGCTGCTCACGTGTCCCTCTAAAATGGGATAGGGGAATAATGTTGCAGAACTTTAACCCGTATTCCAGTAAGAAAGAGACTATGAATTAATCAATGATGAATATCGTAACAGTTTATGATGTTTTAGCATTATCCTGTTTACCATAAATACCTTCCTGTGCGAAGAAGATAATGCTTTATCCCTCGATAGGTATGCTATTACGCCCCATTCTGTACAATTTTTTAAAGACCACAGATTTTGTTTTCTCTCAGAAGTGCCTTGCTCAGATGATCAGGTCACCAAGATTTCTACAAAAAGATATTTGAGAAAGCTGGACTGAACTTACAGCAATGTAAAATGGGGCTGCTGAGACAGAGGTTGGCTTGCAACAGCACTGACCCCACTATTCCTATCCTTATAAAAGAGTAGATGTGGCCACCTGACCCCAGACTGATTCTCCTTACCTGTGGTGGGTCTAGTGCTGCAGCCCTACCATGGCACCTGTGCCATTTAAGTGGGAACCAAACCCTGTAGCTGCAGGTGATAGGAGTTCACAGCGGCTGGTGGAGCTCAAACTCCACAGGATTTAATGAATGATGTATGGATCAGCCCTCTGGATTTGCACATGCACATCAGTTACACCTGTAGGAAAAGTAATTTAAAACCTCCTTCTTCCCCACCTCCCGCCACTTCTTGGAGCTGGCTTGCGTTAAATATTAACAAACCTTGTTTATCAGTTCCCTGCTTCACTTGGCTTCTTTTAACAGCAGATGCTATTACAACAACCCCTCTCCCCTCCCTCCCTGCTCGTCAGCAGTGCTGGTTGTGAAACCCAAGAGCCTGCGCCCGGACGCTGCCCCAGCTACGTGCTGTCCCCCACCGTGCTCCCTGGCATCACTGATGCTGCCTGCCTTTGGTGAAAGCGAGGAGCTTGTGCCCTGAGCCACGAGCTGCAGGGAGATACTGGTTAAGAGACAGAGGAGAGCGGCCCACGGGAAGGTGAGATCCTGCAGGTGGAGAGGAGGAGGAGGAGGAGGAAGAAGCAGTGAGGATGGCCAGGAACTCCGGCACACTGCCCCGGGTGACTTTCCAGACTCCAGAGAAACCTGGGGAGGAATCATCACACAGGAAACTGGGCAAGCTAACCATAAAGTACAACCGCAAGGACCTACAGCGCTGGCTAGACCTGGAGGAATGGGTGGATGCCCAGCTGCAGGAGCTGTACCAGTACCCGGTGAGTAGCTGGGGCAAATCAGCCCCTTGCTCGTTAGATGAATGGGACAAGGGCTCTGTGTGCTGGGACAAAGCTTCCTCTGCCTTACTGGAAACAGATCCTTGTCTTCCATCTTTGTCAGGTATCCTATTGCCACCTGCAACAGTACTCTCTTTGAATGGTGTGCCCACAGTCAGAGAAGCCTGTATTGATGTATTCCAGCTAGCTATAAGCTGTCTGGTATTACACCTGCTGGGAGGACAGCTATTGCTCAGCACAAGTAGCAAAACTTAGGCAGGTGTACCAAGCCACACGCTGCTAAGCTCCGTGTGGTCAGTGGCTTTGCTGCAAGCTGTATTAGCTGGATTAGAGGTGGTCAGTGTATTTTTGTCCCTTTTGGTCACAGCAGTGTGGCTATAGCTGCTGTTTGAATGAGGCACTCAGGATAAATGATGTAGCTGCAGACTCTGGACACACTACTGGCAGCAGGGGAAGAAAGACAAAACACACGCTGAGATGATGTGTATAGAGACCTTAAACCTTCACAGACCCCTAGAGCTGTCTCCCTCCCTGCATTTTCCTTAACTAGAGGAACAATCAGTCCCAAATCCTTCCTGCATATCTGAGAGTGGTCAAACTAGGAAAGGTTTAGTAGGAGTGTTTAGGTACAGCACCTGAATGGTACAAGTATTTACTTTAGGCTGTTGTAGGGTACGTGGCATTTTTTTTCCACAGAGATGTGATATTTAAGTCAGCACTGACTGGGTACCCTGAAATTTTAACCCATTACTATCCCTTCTATTCCTATTTTGTGCTTAGATAGATGGCACCTACACTGTGAGCTTTCAGAGGGGACAGTGCTTTTCCACTTTTGAGATGGGGTAATTCCTTTAGGGTGTAGTAAATTGCACCTCAGGGTCTCAAACCTATTTAAATAGCTTGAAACTTTGTGTTTTTTTGCTTTAATCTGCAGGGTAACAGCTGTTGTAGTAAAAGAAAATACATTTTTTGACTCACAACCCAGTAGATCATAAGTGTCTTCGACAGAAGAATAGATGGGTTTAACAAGTTGTGTAAAATAGGTTAATCATGTCCTGGATGGGGATGGACTAAATTAACTCTCAAGATTTTTCTGCCCTGTTTTCTATATTCACACCCCAGTACAATGTTAAACACATTTTTGAGATAAGGGGACAAAAGAGCCAATGATTACTTGGACTCTGATGCTCTCTTCCACTCTGAGCATCACCAGTTTCAAATTACAATCAGCAGTGGAAGTGGACATGCTAGAACAGCCCAGGAAAGGTGATTTTTGTGCTATGTGTCATGATGGCACAGAGAAATTCCTATCTATTTTGAGAGGGCTCCAGGATGGTTGTCCATATCTGAGCACCACGGAACAATGTCAGCTCCTCCCCTGAGCAGGGGAACTTCAGGAACTCTCTCTGAGGCTTTTTATTATTGTTGTTGCTGGTTTTGGTATTTTTGTTGTTTATTATCATTGTTTTCTGTGTGATTATTATATCCCTGTTTGATATTTGTGGGAAGATATGGGGTTCTTATGCTGAGTTGGGAATTATTGCAGTTTTAATGTATTAGTTCTGAGAAGCTTTCTTGAGATAGATGAAAAGCACTTCTTGGTACCACCAGTAACCTAGTCCAAGATGCAACTCCTTGTGGGCTACTCTCAGTTGTTTAAGTCTACAGATTTACTCTTGTAAAGGTCTCAGAAAAACGAGTTAGGCTACCTTGTTACTTGTGGCTTTCTGTGAATCAACTAACTGGGAGCTGTTTGCTGGGAGCAGCTACCCAAAGGAGGTATTTTTTCCTTACTACAAAATCCCTGCAGGCACGAGTGGGAAATGCAGCCATGCCCTTACGGGAACAGATTGCCAGGAGCTTGCCTTTGCTAGCACCTCTCCAGAACAATAGTTTTATTGACTTCCTGATGTGCTGGGGCAACTGAAGAGATTCCTGCCAGGAACTGCATGTGATGCTGTTCCACGTCAGAGACTGTTAATAGGGTACCACAGAAATTTGCGTACTATCTTTTCAAATAAATAAATGTGCCACGATGTATGACTTGTAAACATCCAGGTGTAAAACAGATCCTCCTGCCCTGCTTTGTGCATTGTGGCAAGACGATTTGGTTAGCCCTGCTGGGCTTCTCTAGATCCACTGCCTTCCATTACCTCACCTTCTTGTCTTCTCCACCTGCCCTTGGCAGTGAGGGCAATATTCCTCAGAGTCTTCCAGAAGTCCATATGACAGAGTTGGAATGAACAACGCTGCAGGTTCAAATGCCATCAAGGTTCAAACGTCATCTCCTGATACAGATAATCTGAATGCTATGCTATTTGCTGCCACAAGGCTTTTTACAACAAATTTAAGGCTCAGGAGACAATTTGGGTTTTTGAGACCACTCCCTGTGCTTGGAAGTAGGAACACAGTCCCTACTTGAACTGGAAAGCCGTAAGATGTCCTTATCCTACATTGCCCTTCCGATCCATTTATTTCTTTAGCCAAAGTCAGGCTGTATCAAGACCTGTTGTCTAAATAGTCACGTGAAAACTATTCTAAGAAATGTTGTTATGGGTCATAGTACAGCAAGTGCAACTTTTATTACTAGTTGTCAAATCAGCTGTGTAGCCAAGCTGAACACCTACTGCTTTTTACTTCCTGCATGGCATGGTATGACTGATCAGAAATAGTTTCTTTCTTTTCCGTAAGTACTGCCTTTATTGTTTAATGTTTTACATATAAATCTGTAAATGCCATCCAGCAACTAGGTGCTGTGCTGTTTACTCATTATCCTTATTCTGCTGGTTACTGTTAAAATATCACTGGTAATCATGTTGTTAAAGGTTCATCTTGCAAATACATAGGAAAACAAAGCCTGCCATCCTTAACAGTCTTTTGGAAGTGTACGGACACAGACACATTTTAGGTCCAAGTATACAAATGTTTCCATCTAACATAACGAGTCTATTACTCTGATCACCAAAGCTTGGAGGGGGTCTCTCTCACATTAAAGGAGACTATGGCATATTCCTATTATAGAAAGCTGACAAAAGAGTTGAGCTTTTCAAAAGCATAGTTGTTTCTTTATGACTCCAAACATCCTTAGTGTAAATACCAACCATGTGAATGTGTGAGACACAATCTGTAGACAATAACAGGCTCAGGAGAGGATCTCAGTGAAGCAGCATTTTTATTTGCAATTGTAATGGTGGGCATCCAGCAAGCATGAATGCGTGGCACACATATACCATAGCCTTATATTCTCTATTACCTCCTGTTTCCTCATTGGCTGAGTACTACAGGTTCACAACCTACTCGATGCTTGTTACTATACCATATGTGCACAATATTATTTGACCAACCTTTAATTTCTCCTTTTCCCTTTTTTTTTTTTTTTTCCTTCTTCTCTCATGACTAGAAGGTCCATGATTTGTTGTTTTTACTGATTTTGCGCTGCTCGTCTTGCTTTTCTTACCTATCCCCCTTATTTTGGGACAGTGGGACTTTCCACTGTCCCCTTATCTGCTTAACATACTCCATACTGTTATGCCACTGTTATCACTTTCACTGTTATCACAATCACTTTTGAATATGCAAGGTGGTTAGTAGAATTTTCTACTGCAAAAACACAACTTTAATTCCCATAAATGTATGTAGCTAAAAAGCTTTAAATCTCCTTGTATTAGTAGTGCCTCTTTAAGCCTGCTGGACTTCTGTTTGGTGAACACCTGCACATAAGCTTCATGGAAGTGGGTTGTCCCAAGCTGGGTTACATCACACTGCAGTTGGCAATTGATGATGAATATTCTTGAAGAGGTGGAGCACCTCGCGGCCCATCATCCCTGAGAAGCCATCAAGGGTTGAGATGGGAGCAGATGATGAATCAAGATGTGTGGCTGTAGCAGATACCACAGAGGGGCTGTGGAATACATGCCCTCTTTATAAGAACCTCCTTATTTTGAGATGATTTATTTCTTGACCTCAACTTTGCAGTACAGTTCTGTTTTAACTGGCTACTTCTCAGGTGCTCAGTTCTCCCAAGATGGCCTCTAGAGTTCTTAAAAGCTTGAAGGTTTATTAACTGTGTTTTTTTCTTTTTTTCTTTTTAGCTGAGAGAGAAAACAGAGGCACAAGTTCATGGACCTGAAATTGATCTTGAAGATCTCCTGGATGTCCCTAATGAAGAACAGAAACTAAAACTACAGGTCAGATAGAGGGACTTGGTGGCTTTCAGTTAGGGACTGCTGTCATAATACAACATGGCAGTGGTGTTTGGGCTGCAGAACACATGCATCCTGTGTTACAGGCTGCATCCCTGTGCCTTTTAGCCTGTCAAGTACTGTAAGATTGTATGTCCTTTTTGTAGCTCAAGGGAAGTGTCAATTTATAAAACTCTAAAATGTCTTCTTCTTGTCTTTTAGGAAATCCTCCATGAATGCTCCAGCCCAACAGAGGTGAGTGAAACACCATCAACGTATATATTAGGCTGTGCTCTAAGAGTGTGTTTGTTGCTACTTGGCTGAATAGCCGGGGTGTTACTTTGCCTAACATGATACTGTATATTTGTTTACTTTCTAATGTGAGGTATTAGGACATCTGTTCTGATATGTTATAAAAATATGTTCAGCTCTACATAGCTGAGCTGAGGATGAGCAGTGGAGCAGACGAATGATTTTGCTGTGTAGCCAAAGTTTATTCCATGTTTTTGACATCTTGAGGTGACCAGGCTGAGATGATACTTGGTTCTCAGTGTGGAAAAAGTATAGACAGTTCCTATAAGGATCTTGCATGCCATTAATTAAATGCATTTTCAGCTTACAAGATTCTAGTGTATGAATGACAAGAATGTAGGATGGCCCTGAGATTGGACTAGGCAGATAATTGTTTAACCCCTTTAGGTCAGTTTAACACATGCTTCACCCCCACCTTGTGATCTCTAGAAGTCCTGGTTTGAGTTAGGGAGCTAAAGAACTCTCACAAGTTGGCACAGCATTCAAAGGAGCACAGCTTAGGACTCTGCAGAGCAGCGTGTGCATCACACAGCAATTACCTTTGCTGCACACTGCTGTGTGCAGACTAAAGTCTCCTACTCCTGCTTCAGTCATGCGCTTTGCACATGAATGTTGTGCTCAGATGTTACTAAATGTCTTGTCCAGCCTTTATATGTAGCTGTACAGTGATGAACATGCAGAAAATGAGATGGATGCATTACTCCCATCAAAATTAAACTAACGAGCATTGTGGATAGTCTCCTAAGATGGGTCTGGCAGACAAGGCTGGCAATAGGGTTTTCAGTGTGTCTAAGCTTCAGATCTTGGGCAAGAACTCCACTTTCCCAGAGAGATAACTGAAAATAGTTTGCTCTAATGATTCAGCAACCATGAAATTGCTGAGAGTATGCTTCTTGATAACTACAACTGGATATTGCTACCTCATTGGCAAAAGTATATACTCTCACCCTTGTAATCTTGAATCCAGTCCCCTTGAAAGATGACAGCAGTCTATTCACAGAAACTAGACAGAGGAAACAAACTGGTTTCCTCTGAAGGGACTGAATACAAAGGTACAATCCTAGGCATTTACCTCCAGAGCATGCTGTGGCAGGCAAACTCTGATCACTGGAGTGAGGAAGCTGGGCTTGCACACAGCACAAACCATAGCAAATTGCAGTACCTCTGGTGACCTTGCCTAATTACAAGGATATGTAACTAACCTCTTTGGGTGAAGAAAAGCTGCACAGTCCCTTACAGTGATGTTACTTGCCATGAAGATGGTAAAGTTTGCCCTAGTCACTTTGACTTCTGCTTGGAATAACCAGATGGGCCAGTTTGGTTCATAGTCCTTGGCTGTGTCAGCAAAGTAGTTGGGGTTTATCTCCATTAACTGCTCATCTATCTGGCCTTCCAGTCCTCAACCCCTGCTCCAGGTTATCATTAGTCCTACATGTGTTCTGTTCCACCCCCTTCTCTGCCAGCCACTTCCTTCTAGAATTGGCACAGCTTCGGCGTGGTTTGCAGTCCACAACATGGAGCTTTACAGGTTGAACAAGGAAACAACAAGAGGGACGGCTTGCTTTGCCCTACATGGGGAGGGCAGCAGAAGTGGGCAGGAGGTTATGGTGGCAACAGGAAGCAGGAGAGCCTAAAAGAGACAACACCATCTTGAGGTCATCCCAAGGTAAAACAAACAGGCATCAGGGATGAAGAGAGCAGGCTAGCTGCTGCAGATACAGTAAACATGGCTACACAAGAGGAATCCAGGGGAGGTAGAGAACAGAGGGGCTTTTAGACCCCTCTTCGCCTATCAAAAGGTCTCCCCTTCCTAAGCCAAAAGATACATTTTCTCCATCCACGTAGAAATCCTAGTTTCTGCTCAATATGAAGAGGAATGGGGGAATAATGCAAAAGGAATAGTACTCTATGGGTTGGTGAGCAATGGAATTAACACAACATCCTTCTTCCTACAATTCTCCTTGTAGGACTTCATTACAGAATTGCTCAGTCGACTGAAAGGTCTCCGGAGAATCACCAATCCTCAGAAGAAATTACCTCACCCATAAGGGACACCAGCTTTGGTCACAAGGAAACATGCATCTTCCCCACAAAAAAAAAATGGGATCAGCAAGATAACTTCAGAATATGCTTTGGACTTACTGTTATTGAGACACATCACCAAGTTTGTGAACTTTGTACCTGTGGTTTGAAGTTTCCACTCCTTCCACATCTACGTGCACAGCAGGGAGCTACGTTGCATATTCGCTTGTTTCTTAAATGGCATTTTAACCGTGGGAACAGGACAAGACGTCGCTCCTTTAGTTTCTTCTAGGAATTTCCATGCTGGCTGGGGAGTACTGAATACAATTCTCAGCAGGTCATCAAAACTTCTTCCACCCACTGCAAGGAAAACAAGGCACTGGTTATCACTCATTCATCAACACAGAAAATCAGTTACTGTGAAGCTGCACCCTGCTTCAAGTCTGGCTGGGACCTGACTGTGATCTCCTACCTGTTACTACTACACCTAACTCTACAGGATTGAACATACTTTGTCTGATTAAGCCTCTGTCATTCACAAAGGTTGGACAGAATATACACAGTAGGATTGAAGGAAAACAGCCAAGTGCATCTGGTCAATACTTAAGGGGAAGTTGGTGAAACAGCTGCTAAGGCTAATGGAAGAGATTGTGTTTCCTCTTTGTGGAATTCAGGCTTGATGATTTACAAGTGTCTTCTGAAGGCCTGGGAATTATTTTCTCACCATTTAAAAAGACGTTAAAAATGCTTATTTTGTATATTAAAACACAGAAAATCAGCTATATGCTGCTTGACTTTGCTTTTTTTTTTTTTTTTTTTAAAGACACTAAGGAAAAATTGAACGGAAAACATACCTGCTTCTAATTTCCCTGTAGGGAGAATTGCAGAGTGAGTCTTTGGCAGACAGGTAGGTCTCCCAAATGAGAAGTGAAGTAGGACACAGTGACTTGCTGCACACACTCTTCTGGCTGTAACTAATGTGTGGCTGGAAAAATACAGAGGAAACTACATCCAGCTTCTCAGCAAGTCAGTAACTTGACACATGTGGCAAGGAAATAAGACAGCAAATGGAGGATGTCTGGTTAGGCAGATCAGTCTCATGTTAGGTCCTGCCCCTAGACTCTCATGTCTGCCACTCAAACGCAAGGGATGAGCTGCTGAGTTGCATCCAGAGGGGCTCCTACATACCAGTACGTTCAAAGCTAGCTTTTGAGTACATATTCTATCAGACAAGAAGGGAAAAGGGGGCCAACTTAGCAAGAAAAGGGACTTGAAGGTTAACTAAAACAAACAAGGACTCGGGCTGAACTAATAATATCTCAAATCCATTAGCTTCTTAATCATCATCAATAACAGTGATGACTATTACCTTCTGCATCCCTCCTATTTTTCAGAAGTGTCAGTGAACAAGATGTGGGCTGTGTGTATCTCTCAGCAAGGACAAAATCCTTGCTGCTGTAACAATGGTGATGTAAGGGCTTGCTTGTCTTTGCTGTTCTTGAGTTGTCAAGCCATGCAGCTCACAGTTGTCCTAAGGCTGCTGCTCCCAGAGGCTCTAAACCTCATCCACCAGGCTTACCATATCAGGTCCATGGGCACGTGCCCTCCTTGGCTTAGTAAGGGACCGTGAGGACATGCCTGCCCTCCTGATATCTCCAGTTTGTAAGTACAATAACAACAGAAAAAAATCAGTTCACATCTGTACCTGCTGTAGATCTGGCATTGCTCATGGACTTATTACATCACCAAATAGGTTCAAACAGAATTTCAGGTGGAAGACCCAGGTGGACAGACCATGAGCTAAGTGTCCTAAACTATAGCTGTAATTAGCCACAGCACAGAAGCTCACAGGTGTCTAGATTAATGACACACTCTACCAAGATGGCTTTGTTTTTTTCTGCTGAGCTGTGATAGCACCAAGACCTGAAGTGCCACATCTCTGGCCCAAGAGAGACTTTTCTCCATGCTGCACATTTTTCTGTACCCACTCAATTTGGAATGATGCAAAAAGCATTTTTAGCTGTAAGTATGCAGACATTGTTAGAACCCAGAAAAAAAAAAAAAACAAAAAAACACCAAAAAAACAAAAAACAAACAGGCTTTTGAAACACTGCTTGAGAGAAGTTGTCTTTATGTGTCCTCTTCAAGTAGCAGAAAGAGTAAGCTGTGGCCCCTGTGACATGCAGTTATTTCTGGTACATAGGAACATCACTACAGCACAAAAGAGCACTCAAGACAAGCAAAATGTGATAACAGGAACAAAGCAAGATATGGCCAGTGCTAGCTGATTTCTTGGCTCTGGTGCAAGAACTTTTAAAATTGGTTCTTAAAAGTAGTAAGTCAAACTTGCTTTTATTTACTTTTTTTTTTTTTTTTTTTTTACTCTCAGCTTAACCCATAAGGACAGACTGAACTACATTTTGCTTACAAACAGCTTCCAGTTATATTCGCTGTTTCTCATCACCATCACTAGCATAAGGCTGTAATATTTGGTATATGGATACTGTTTGAGAAGCTTTCTTTAAGGAAACTTTGGCCTCTTGATTATACCAAGATAACTCAGATCATGTGAAAGTTTATGCGCATTTCTAATTGCAGGCTCATGAAGGTGTATAATATAACCTTCAAATCAATTTTCCTTTATTATGAGCAACACTTATGTTCCCTTTAAAAATATTCAGCCTGCTACATTTCACACTTGTTACAGCAGTTAAGATAATGTGCATATTCACAAACTACAGCAATTGTGAGTTAATGAAGCTTAACTGAAACCTCCCTTTGTAAGCTAATTTGAGTTCAACTTCATTTGTTACCATTACTTTGAGTTCTTCTTGGGGAGGAACCTACTTTTTTTAGTTGACATAAACATTTTGAGAATAAAAGAAAATATTTTTGTGCCCTCATGGCAAGCTACAATGATAAAAGGAAAGAAATTTATTCTTTCTTGCAGATATCAAATTCTCTTCACGTCCTTGAATGGCTATGACTGAAGTTGCCCTAGCCAGTGAGGAACTGATAGGTTCCCAGTACCTTTACTAGGTAACTGTGCCCAGTTAAAGGTCACACAGCATTCTTCTTTCATAATGACAGATTCAGCTAGGTTTGCTTCCTGCAGACAGCTGACTATGATAGTTTGTGCCTCAGTGACCTCCATGTAAGAGGGAAAAGAGGGCTACAGTGGGAATGGCTCTTCAAGGGGAAAGTGATTGGGCTGCCATTAAAATGGCCAATTACATGCAGAAAGCTCAGCAGCCACAAAAACGTCCATTAGTGCAGTGAAAGAGTCAGCATGTGTTTGTATGACTGAAGAGAGTCTTCGACGTATGACTAAGTTCTATTTCAGGTACTGGGTTGGGCGCATTTCTGGATTTCTTGGGATGAACCCACAGAAACAAATCCAGGAAGTTAAATAAGCTGCTTCAGGCTGTAAACTGCTGCTTTACTACTGTTGTGCATGGGGCAGGGTTCACAGGACTCAGGCTGCATAACTGCACAAGGAGCTCAAAGTTTTGTTGTTGAGGAAGCAAAACCTGGGCGACCCAGGCTGAAGCCCAAGGGAGTGGATCAGCCTTACATGGGATATAAGACCAGGTATTTGCATCTTCTTCTATACAGGTTGAATACTTTGTGTTTTGCCTAATCTAAGAGAGAATTTTTAGACAGACTAATTATCCTGGTTAAATAAAAATGAAGCATCATTCCCACAACAATACAAAGCTGGAACTGCATTTTGTTTTCATTCTGAAGACTGCAAACCCCTCAGGTCAGTAACTATCTACTTAAATCTTGTGTAACACAGGACTCATTGTAAACTCTTGCATCACAAGAATTCAGTAGTTTTCCTCTCTGTCCATCCCAAAGTGGCAGGCACTTTTGAAGCAAGGACTCTTAGGTGAAAGAACATCCTCCACAAGACTCAGGTTTTGCTACCCTTTCCTAACAAAGGGTTTTGACAGTGCTGACACACACATTAGCAGTTCTTGCTAGGTCAACCTGCAGTATTACTATTCCACATTGTCTGATACGGGTTACTACTGAAGCACCTGATCCAGCCCAACATAAACCCACCTTCAGAGGTAGTTTAAGGTATTTACTGTGCTCTGAGCAGGGGTGGCTGAAGTGCAGGCAAATACTGTTTTGTTACCTCACCTACAGAGGCAGTGACCTTCAGCACAGGGCAGGGCAGACAGCTGGGAGTGGCGATGTCAAACCAGACAGGCAAGATTCACTGGAAACCCTCTGTCAAAGACAAATCCTTGATTTTATTTTTAATTTTTTTTTTGACACTCCTAGAATTTGTCAACCTTAGACAACTGTCTCAGAAGTCACATTGTAGCCCTGGGAAGAGCTCATACCAATTACAGCTGACTTCTGGAAAGTTTAGTCAGGTATTTCAAGCAATTCTGGGTGCTGTGGCCACTGGCATGTGTCACGTGCATCTGAACTATCTCCAAGGATGGATATAAGTAAATGAAACTAAGTTTCTCTCACAGCCAGATAAACAGCATCATACAAGTAGCATCTTTATTCTACCAGGGGACCAACAGAGCCAAACCCCATCTTAATATTAACACACAACTCTTCCAGACTAACGTGCTAACAAATAATGTGGAATTTAGGCACTGCCACTGCAGATCACAATGCAGTGTGTTTGTAGCAAATTACCTTTACAAAGCATCCTTCATTTCAAGTACAGGAGCAACACTGCTCATCAAGGCGGAGTAACCATCACTCCTCTGCACCTCCCCAGCAACACCACAGAAACATTTTTTGTGACTTCATGATCCTTACTATCTGCCCCTGAGCCACCTGACAGAAGGACTGAGATACCACAGGAGGGTGACACTTTGTAAAGAGCTATCAGGCATTCCCAGTTGAGACTTTAAACACAGGCCTCCGTAAATAGTTTTTATTATGTTTTGGAAGTTCTCATCACACATGACCATGATGTAGACAGTTTCTTAGTGCAAAGTGCTTTGCTGCCTTGTGAACCAATGCGTAAGTTAGCAAAAGCAGGAAGTTGCTTATCAGCCAGCACTGCCTTAACCACACATCTTTACTGCTACCCAAATCGCCTTACTTTATAAATATACAGATGCATATCCACCTCCTCACATCAAGTCCTTATTTATCCCAAACAGGCATGGCAAACCCAGCACTTTTCTGGTTGCGTTCGTGAGGACAACGATACATGCCCTCCAAGCCTCTCTCAGATTACAGCACATCCTTTTACTGTCCAAAACATCACCCATTTTGGCTGCAAATCCAGCTGGAGTCTTCCCATCTGGCCGACTCCCTCTTTTCCCGTTCTCCATCTCCTTTTCTGCCCATGAAGAATGTGATCACCTCTACTTGCGAGGAAGGTGATAGCGGGAAGTGTGGTGGTCCTTCAGGTCAAACTCATCGTGGCCTTCCCTAAAAAGCAAACACAAGCTGCAGTCAAGAGTAAACACCCAGCCAGGAAACTCACCCTTAGCCACTGCATAGGATGCCTCCCAGCAGCCCTATAACAAACTTATCCCAAGGACTAACTGATAGGACCCCACAGGCAGCCATGTGGACTGGTTACTTGAAACACTTATTTGGAGCAGAAGATTCTGATGTACTTTGTGAAAAGCTCTGTTCATTCTTGCCTGCTGGCATGGGAAATGACAACAGGCATCTCTGACTCCTTCCCTCTCTGAGAGATTCCTGTAATTGGTAGCTTACTTTCAGCACCATGTCTGTGATTCACAGGCATGTTAGTGACTCCTATGACAACAGCCAAAATGACAGTCTGCTCCAC